ACTAACTTTACTAACTTCCAGTCTTTTCTGTGCTTGGCTGTTATCCATACTTGGAAACACATCTCATTTTACAGTCATTTATAAACACCCAACCCTCGACTTTCCATGAATATCACACACTGTTGGACTCCAATTAAAAGCAACACAACAAGTAGCTTTTGTATATATTACAATCTGTTTTATATGTATGTTTACACATCTCAGTTTTATGCCTTCTGGGAAAAGCTTTTCAAGGAACAGAAGCTTTTTAGAAATTCACTCACACAAACACACACTGTGTCTCTTTGTAGGGTGTGTTTTATCTTATCAACAGCTTCACATATCTGACAACCAAGAAGATTTGGTACATTGTCTGTCTCTTTCTGTTTTATCCACACACGTACACACACACACACATACACATAAGCACACGTTTCAAACACACAAAGATGAACTTACCCACTGGGAATCTCTCCAACAACATCAATGCTGTATTTACTCGTAAGTCCACAGAAGTGGGTGATGATTGTTGCTGCTATGACCTGTTAAAAAAAGGTACAAGGAATGTTGGTTCAGTGTGCACAGTAAAACTTTCAGCACAAAAAAAAACGTCTTTTAGGGAAGAGTAGTAAGTCATCAGTAATTCAGTCCAGATCACTGAGGTTAAGACGCCCCCTGTTGGACTTTAAAATGAATACACCTCCCTTATGAGTGAAAAGTGGAGGACTTACCACTATGAGTTCTATCGGGATGGGCATAGGCAGCTTCTGTCTGTAGCAGGCATTGATTTCCTTGACCACAATCAGAACAGAGAGCGCCACCAGGCTGACCACCAGCTCTGGCACTTTAGTCCCAGGCAGCAGCCGGCAAATATCCACCAGAGTCTGTGAGGAAACGAGTGGAAAGGAGGAGGGAACAGAGGTTGGAGATGATGTTCATTCACATATAGTGTAGAAAGCAAGTGTCCACAGGTTTCTGCTGGCTTTGCCACCATGCTGCCCTAAATACCTTTTTACTGAACTCACTGATACTCATATCTTTTGTCTACTTTGTAGTGTTACGTGGAAGTGCATGAACTGTACTTGGATGACATCCTCATCACTCTCCTGTTAGTGTAGTTGCTGTTAGGGGGAATTAACATAAACCTTTAACAGAACCTATATCAGCGCATGGTTTTTGGAGACCTCACGCATTTCCCTGCGTAGCTCATACCAATCTTAACCTGTTCCCAAGGTTGTATCTTCTCAGGCTACTAGAGTCCCAAAACCAAGGAACGAGGTAACATAGGACCCTGGGGATATAGGAATGATCCCAGTTGAGCAGAGATCTAATCAGCCAGAGTAGCTGATAGCACCTTTGTGGGTGTGCTGGGTATTTAATGTATTTAATGTAAGTAAACAAGTGCTAGTTCTCAGAAGTATTTTAAAGGAATAGTTCAACATTTTGGGAAATGTGCGTATTTGCTTTCTTACAGAGATTAAGATAAGAAAATCAATACCACACCTGTTTGTCTGTTACATATTTAGCTAGCAGCTCGTTAGCTTAACTTAACACAAGACAGGGATCAGGGGGAGGTAGCCTGGTTGTGTCCAAAGGTGCCATTCAGCACCTCTAAAGCTCACTAATTAACACATTATATCTTATTTGTTTAATCCGTATAAAAACCTTTTTTTGCTTATAGGTTCCTGGTCAAGCAGTAGGCACATCACCAACCAACTTTAAAACGGTAAATAGCGATTTTTATACTCTGTTTAACAGATTAAACAAACAAGATATATAGCGTTAGTATTTAAAAGATTATCAGGATATACTAGTACAAGTATCTCAAAACTGTAATCAAGCTGTAAGTCTACAGTCTAATCTATTGTCGGTAGCCATATGTGAACATACTCACATATATAAGGGAGAGAGGACCAGTGAAGCGAGCCGGTGTAATTCCAAACAAGTACTTGAGCTGGGAGACACACACATGACACGCTGATCCTGTGGTGTAGCCACGAACCAGTGGCTCAGAGAGGTAGGTGACCACAAAACCAAACCTCACCACACCCAACATCAACTAAGAAAGGAAAGAGAGAGAGTTTGTCAAAAACAGTGAAATATGACTTAAAAGGGTTTGGTCAAAATGAACACACAAACACACCTGAAAGATTCCTGCCAGGACTGTGAGGGAACATGCTATCTGTACTCTGTATGCGTCCCGTTCATTGAGGTTCACAATTTCTGTTCCATTAGTGCCATTTCCAATAAAGTCACTGTCTGGTCCCAGCCTCTCCGTCACACTCCCAATCATGATGCTGATCACAGCAAACGTCCCTGAACATACAAAACATGAGCATTTAGAGACACATACACAAGCAAGGATAAGTTAATTCATGTTCTTTCAGTTCTTTTAATTACTGCCATTTTCAAACACTTGTCTTGCTCACCTATGGAGATGTGTCTGGAAGTACCAAAGAGGAAATAGACCAGCACAGGGTAGAGGGAGGTGTATAGGCCAAACACCGGACGTAAGGAAGCCAGAAGAGCATATGCCATGCCTGGTAGAACAACAAACAAATTCTGTGATGTTTTGGGTGCTTTTAAATGTAAGGAATAGTCACATACAACTGGAAAAATACACTTTACCCAGAATTAGGTAAGAAGATCGATACCACTCTCATATCTGTTCGTTAAATATGAAGCTTCAGTCAGGAGCCAATTAGCTGAGCTTAAACAAAAATTAAAGTGTAAAACAAGAACTTTTGTTTTGGATGTAATGACTTCCTGGACCCTTGTCATCATTGAGCGTAGACTCCAGTAAAACCAAAATTTTTACACTACAGGTTATATTTAGTTAATTAGTTAGCTTTACAGGTACTGTTCCATTCAGAGAGAGCCATGTTAGCTGTTTCCCTGTTTGAAGTCTTTACGCGCTCCTTGATTGAGCTTCATATTTAATGAACAAATGAGTGTGGTATCAATCTTCTCTTTTGCTAAGTTTATGAAGTGTGAAGCAGATAAACTCCCCCCTTTGTACACATTCATACAAACCCTGTGGCAGATGCATAATGCCCACACTGCAGCCAGAGATCAGGTCCCCTATGGCATTTTCTCTGAGGGAGTATTGAGGCAACCAGCCGAGAACAGGAACCCAACTCAGCACTGTGTGCTTCACCCTGGACACTGAACACCTGCAACATTTTATCATTCATATTACTGAGTATACAATTTATCTTTCAAATTGTTCACTGAATGTCTCACGAAGGAGGATATGTGTGTCTACCTAACAGTTCAACTAGAAAAGAAAGATGTATGTATAGGCTTTTAGTTTAGGTTTTGTTAGTTTTTTTTTGTTTTTTTTTTAAGGAAGAGTTGTAAAAAAAAAAAAAAAAAATTAAAATGTCCTGAAAAAAATTCCTAAAATGAGGCTTGTGAATCCTAACACCTGCTA